GAATGTAAATGTTGTGTTAATTAAATTGACTAATGCTCCTTTGTTTGTATTTTGGGGTTTACTTTCATGAGCACAGAACATCAGGTGATAGGTACCCTGCTATGCATTTCATGTTTTTAATGGCACTTGTAGCACAATTTTTTCCTTCAGAATTTTTCAACTAGATCTAATAGGAAGCCACTGTATATACACACCCCTGAGTATCCACACACTGCCAGTGGAAAATTAGCAACAAACTCTTGAGAGAACTGGAGGGGAGAGGTTGCTACCATACCCATTAGCACACCTTAGGATCCCTGTGTGCTGCCTGAAGAATGTGGTCAGGTGGCCGGCTCATATACTGCTCACAAATGAGCAGCTTGTTCTAACCATAGGTGTTCAACAATCCTTCTGAAGTAGGACATGTACCTCCCTGCATGCCTCCCTTCTCCTTTTTCTCCATTCTGCGAGCCCTGAATCATCCTGCACGATGGCTCTGGGAACATAGATTTGCTGTACATGGCCCTCACCAGTCCACTGTTCCTCCGCCCCGTTGAACTTCCTGTGTAGATCCTGAAGTAAGCGCAGGATTGGGCACTAAACTTTTCCTTTCTGGTCACTGCTCCAGGACCAACACTGATAAGTTTGATCCTGGAAGCATCATATTTGCCCAGCAAAGTGTTTCAAGGTCTTGCTGATCATGAAACAATTTGCATTTTTAAGATTCTGATGACCTCTGTTTGTTTCTACTTAAATTATCATATCACTCTAACAGCTGCTGTCTCATGGATTTCTAGAGGAAAAAGAATGTTTTCCACTGAGAACCTGCACTCCAGCTTGCCAATAGTGAAAAAAGTATTAGTTTCTATTTGTAGCAGTTCTCAAGATGGGAGAATTGGAGTTTTGGGGGGACAGGAATTATGTTAATCAAGATGTTTTTTCTAATATCTGGTATCTTGTGAATTGCTGGGACTTGTAATGGTATGAAGCAGCCATTCAAAAGCCCAAAAAACTGCAGCTTTCCAAACACACAGGACATGCATTTCTGGTGGTGGTGATTTATGAGAGATACGATTTTAAAATTTTCACTAGTGCTTTAGGTTAGCAGGTGCTCTGGGTACTGTTCTAGAAGTGAACATTGTCAAGTCCTTGTGGTATCTCCTTTTCTTACTGGTAAATTATAATTGTAATAAAGCAAATGTTTTATAAAGACATTTTAAGCATTGGGAATAACTGTTCCAAAAGCACTAAATGTGATTGACCCTAATTGCAAAGTGAAACAAGTTTTACCTCTGAGTGCTCAGCTGTTAAACAAAATTTTTGGGATGACTTAATCTGTGAGGTGTAGGAAGTTAACCTATTTGAAACTTTTATTTAGAAATACAAAAATGCAAACCATCATATTACCTGGAAGAGGTCTTCATTGAGCTGCAATTTTTACAGTGTATCTCTAGCTCCAGATATTGCTAAAGACTATATATGGCTCTTACACTTGAAACTACACATCACTATGTCCAGGATTTGTATCTCAAAAGGCAGAACTAAAAGAAAAAATTCGTAAAGTAAATGAGTAGTATTTTAATTAGATTGCAGTTTTAAGCACCACATTAAACAATGTGAATGTGATGTACTTTTTCTTTGCTATCTCTTCTTTACTGTTTGCAGACGGATTCCATTAGAGGAAGTCCCAGAAGACGAACAGGAATGTTCTAAGTGGCTTCACAAACTCTATCAAGAAAAGGTTGGTTTATTGTTTGGAACCACTAGATGGTGATAAATTTACATTAATATTATCCTGTATACTGCAGCAGGGCTTTTTAGTAGGGCAGGGTTTGGTTTTTCCATACACAAAAAGCAGCCTTATACTGTCAATCAATCAGAATCACCTTTATTTTATATTAAAAGAACATAAGTAAAGTTTCAATGAGAGAACAGAGGAATACAAAATGGTAGCTGCCTCTGAATCATGGAGAAGGCATTTAAAAGTGCTGTATGCAAGAAACCCAGAGAGACTCAATTATGAGGTTACACTGCAGATGGAAGATTCAATATTCCCACTCCTTGTGAATTTGGGATTTTTTATTTTTTTTACAGAGTCATAAAAGTAATTTTAGCAGAATGGGCTGAGCACCTATCTCTGCTACAGGCTGTGTAGGAGACGCATACATTTTAAAAAAACACATTTTAACTTCGGACATTTTAATGATTTTAAAAAATAGGTATGTCAGTGTCTTTCTGCTACTTGAGTGTGGCATCTTTAGAGTGACAGAACTGCTCAGCTTCTGGGTTTTCCTAGTCTAGAAACATAGAAGGCAATGTTTTGCAGGGCTATTAGTTACACACCCAAAACTCCCATTTCAGTCAATGTGCAAGGAATGTGGGTCTAGCCTGATTAGCCAGGAAATGTATGAGTGACATCTTTAGATTGTATAATAATATAGGACTTTTCAGACCCAGAGATGGCTGTGGGGCCTGCCAAGACCTGTTCTATGTTCAACATATCCATGGAATACTAAGCCACCTGCTATACCACTTACTGTGTTTCTGTATTCAAACTGTTTGTGTAAGGACATTTTTCCTGAACTGGTTAAGTTCTAGCCCCGTTCTTGGCTTTATCCATAACCCCTTTAAGCAGCTTATTAATATGGACATACAGTATAGATTTTACTTTCAAGATCTTGTAGAGACAGTTCTGTCAGCTTTGTCTTTGGGCTCCCTCCCGCTCCCATCCCCGGTTCCCAAGTCATGGTACTGAGGCATGGTTTGGGGGGACATAAATGGTATATTTCTACAATAAGGATATGAAGTCACCTTCTGCATTATGACCTTGTGGAAGGTATAATGTGAATACACATGGTCCTTTCACAGGTAACTAACATACCACTTGTTACTACTCTCTACCAATGTGGCTTCTTCCCTAGAATTTCTGTCCCCAAGACAATATCTAGTCAATTAACAGTAGAACGCTTGAACTGAACCAGATGGTGATTATTGCTTTCCAGTTTCTCCCCTACTTCTGTCTCCCTGTCACAGCCTTTGTATTACTTATCAAATATCTTATTGATCTCTTTCTTACAGGCTAATGTTCAGGCAATGCCAGTAAACAGTCTAAAAATATCCTGTACTAGGTTCACAAATAGGCTGGGCATATGGTATAATTTTTTCTCACTAATATACACTGGGCTACACCCAGTTAGTTAGTTATAAATCCTAATATTCCATTAAGTATAGGAAGGAAGAATATGCAGCTCTGTGCAGCCAATTCTTCCTCGGTCTGAGGGGAATCCTGCCCTGAGTGCAGGGGACTGGACTAGATGACCTCTCAAGGACCCTTCCAGTCCTATACTTCTATGATTCTGTGGAGAGATGCCTTGGGGTGGTTTTCCCTCTGAAGTAGATTTTTCTGGGACTTGCCCCTCTAAACAAAATTTATTCAAACTGTGGAGTTTGGTGGTGAAGGTGGCTCCAGGCTCTTTCTGCTCCCCTGTGTATGCTGAAATGCAGATTTGCCTTGTGTCTTGTCATTTTCGCCCTTTCTGGCTCAAGGACCCTGTTGACTACTTGTATGTAAATTGAGGTAAACACACACTCCTTTGTTTAGGATAGACCTGTTTAACAACTTTTGCCTACTCAGGGCAATGTGAGTTTGAACATGTGCTAACTATATCATATAGGGGCAATTCATAATTTTATGTATAATGTTGCTTCATACATTTCTCCCTGATGATATTGATGATCAAGATATTAGTTTTCAAATGATACCTCCCAAAGCATATTTTGTACAAAAATTATTACAGTAGTGTGTAGAGTGTAAATACAGGGGTGCTTTCCATTTCAGTTTGGTTAATTTCCCGTTTTAGCCATTATAGCAAACCTAACAAACACAGCCTTTGCAGATAAATGGCCCTGGTAATGGAAACAAATACCACTTATTCCTAGCAGAAACACTGATAAAATTACAAATGTCTTGGAAATTATGTTGAATTTGTCCTCCACATATACACCATGTACCAATATTAATGATCAGTGTGCTATTAGCTTTCTATTGATACTTTACACAACACCTTTTACATACGGGTTATGACCTTAGTGAGTTTGAGTACATTCAACTGGTCAGGCCAGCTGAAAGTCACTACCCATACCAGTGAGCATTGGGATGCTGTTAGGGTCACCGCTCCAACACAGAATGCAGATCAAAGGAACCCTGACATAAACTATTTTTTTTAAAACCACAATTTTGGGTGCTGACTCTTGCTTTTTGGATGCTGTGAGTTGGCAACATGACAATCTGCATAAAGTTTCTTTTCCATAGCAAACACTCCACTTTCAGTGAGCACAAACACAATTTTAACTCTCAACAAACACACTGAAACCGGAGAACCTTTCCTCTACCAAAACAAAGGAGTATGCTTCAAAATGGCCTTTGATTGTTCTGACCTTCTTTTGCTCCTTCCCCTATATGCTCCTGTGGATGGCACACATTTTGTTCTACAAGAGTGATTGATTATGCTTTCCTATTTCCTGGGTAAATTAACTGAGGGGTTAAACAAATAGACGGCAGCTGTGGCAGCCCAATTATCTGAACAAATGGGGTGTTGAGTGTAGGTCAGATGAAAATATGTTCATATTATTGAGCTCTAGTAAAACATTTGATTTTTCCAACTTCAACTTTCATAACTAGGAGATGGAGACAGTAATTCAGTCCATGGGACACATTTGCATAGTGGAGCAATCTGTTAATCAAGTTTGTAGAGTTGGTTCTTCTGGAGTAGCAAAATTTCATCTCTTTCATGGATATGGCATATTTTGCTAATGGACTAGGTGGCACAGAGAATTAATGCAATGGCCTTTCAGCCTCTGAACACCAGAGTGC